AAACCAAAGCGCTTGATGGGAGACAACCCATTTAGGTACTTATTTGCTTATGTTTAGCTTTCTTTTTTTAGTTTTGTTTCTTTTATTTTACACAGGCCTTAGTATGCCATAAAAAAAAAGGAGCTGACCGCGGCCAAAGGAGGTTCAGCCGCGGCCAAAGGAGGTTCAGCCGCGGCCAGCAAGCATTTTGCCGCGGACAGCACGCGTCTTACCGCGACCGGTATGTCTTGATCCGCGGCCAGCACCATTCGGCCTTCCTTGGCCACTTCCACCACCACCTTGATCGAATCTACTATTTTGGATCCCTATCATCCATGTTTGATCAAGCATCACCACCACTCCACATCATCCACCATCCACCATTCAACACCTTATCACCACCACAACCACCTCACAATCTATCACCAACACCAGGTAAGTTCTCTTTTCCTTAATCTTTTTAATTTTTTCACATATTCTATTTCTCATCCTTGCCTGATTTATTTTACACTGGGGACAGTGTGATTTAAGTCTGGGGGAGGATTTCATCTCTTTCTAACCACTTTTTCTTGCATGAGCTTTTGCATTTTGCATTTTCTTTAAAATTTTTCAATTTTTTCGATTTTCTTAAAGCTTTTCAAAAGTATTTTGAGTTTCAAAAACTGTATTCAACGGTCAAATACATTTTGAGGGAATAATGATAAAATGGATGCTGATAACCAACTTGTTTGCTTCTACACCAATCACTCATGAAAGCTCTTTCAAGGTTTAGTACTAGACAAGGCGGTAGCTAGAGTACTTACACTACGAAATCACACCAGAGGACTTCTATTCATGAAGACCTTTTCTGACAGGATATACTAGCTTATTCTACTTGGACTTAATCTTGACATCTAATTTTCTCATCAATGGTTTTAAAAAGGCATCATGATATACATCTAGGACATCTTTACCTTATTGTTACCACTTTTTGTTGTCCTAGATGGCCAGTTCACCTTTAGCTGGTACCACACCCTTAACCCAAACCTTCATGTTCAACCTCATGCATTCTCTCTTAAGTTTATATCGACAGATAGGTGCAAACATGCCAGAGAGGGAGGAACAACATAGTTTTCAGTCACCCAAGAGAAAGACTGAAAGAGACCAGAAGGGAGTGTGCCAAAAATCTTATGATGCCTCAGAAAAGCTCATTCTTAAAGGTAAATTTCCTGCTCCCTAAGACTCTAAGTCAAAAGGCAGTTTCCCCATTCAAAAAAAAAAACGAAAAAAGAGAAAAAGAAAGAAAGGAAAGGAAACCAAAAGCCTAAAAGAGTCGGAGAAGCCAAAATCACTTGAACCAAGGCATTAAAATTCACTTAAGGAGTTATGGATTCAGAACCTGGACAAAAATCTAAGTCTGGGGGAACTATAAGGAGAACCTGAAGAAATGAGATCAGAAATCTTGAAGCAAGGAGAATGTGACTGAAACTGTGGGGGCATTTACAGTTCCATCCTCTCTTGCTGTTTTGCATAATGTCCTGTCTCTCCACTAAAAGGTAACCCTAAACACATCAAGCCTTACCATTAAAAATCGTTTTGATACCTAAACTTGAATGCCTTGTTTAATGTACTTTTGATGAGAATCACTGAAACCTTTAATGAATGTTAAGAGCTAGTTGACTGGAAATTAGTTCTAAGTGTGTGGATTTTCGCATGACATATTAACGGACTAGTTTTGTTTGTATTTTGGTGAGAATTTTCTAGACTTGATCTGATTGATGCATCGTCCATAATTAAGGTCTAGAAGTATGGTTGCTGATATTTTGAGTTCCCTCTCATTTCTGTTGAATGATATTTTTTCCAGATTTGGTCTTTTTTTGTTAAGTCTGGAGAAGTTGATAACACCCGATTTTGACCCATTTTTACCATTGATTTCAAATGCTTTTTCAAAGGTTTTAATCAGTTTTAGAAATTTTTATTATGAATTCCATGTTTTTGTAGTTTCAAGGCTCTTTTCAGGAAACTTAGGGAAAATGATGACAAAATGGAAGAAATCAACTTTTTCAGCTCAGAGTCAGACCGTCGGAAGTGTGGTAACAAATGGAGGCCTTCCCACCGTCCGATCCAGCTCAAATTTGGAGAAAATCAATAGGAGACAACCATCTTTCCATAGCACTTTACATCACAAAGATCCAATGGTGCAATCAAAAGATACATAGAGAACAAGTTGACCATGTTCACCAATCCCGGAAGACTCTCACCCGCGGGAAACACATGTTTTACCTGCCCTGGAAGACTCTCACCCCTGGTGGACCTTAGGACGAGCCATAAGGCCCAACATAAAAGCTCACTTCGCCATTCCTCTTCAGAGAAGCCCTAAATGAGACCTGGAAGACCTTATGACCTATAAATACATTTCTTAGCAGCCCTAAACGGGTGTGTCTCCTGTAATGAGATTTTGAGCCACGAAACTATGTTTTTCTAGGGTTAGGCGATGGAGATGGGGATTCTTCCCAAGATACATTGTTCTTTCTCCTTTTTATCTTATTAACTTTTCTGTTTAATTCTTTTGCATTCATCTATGTCTTTCATCATTCATTGCATCATGTAGATTTGTTTCAGAGAGTCAAGTTGTTTGAAGATATCGACAAGCATATATATCGATTAGGATTTCTATTGTTCTAGACCATATTCTGGATCTCATCCCTTCTAAGTTGTTCATAAAGCATGAGAGTAGATTCATGACATATTCTCTATAGCCTAGGATCGATCAGAGCCACGAGAGTGCTGTATCAGATCATCCGTACCTAGCTTCAGAAGAACATAGTCGCTATAAGAGTCGAAAACTACCTATAGAGAAGATGTGAGCAGACGAATTCAATGTCTAATGCATGATCTTAAGTTTAGCATGAGAGCGAGAGTTAATTGCTAGATCTAAGCGATTAGTTTATTAAGGTGACAAGAGTTGGTTAATCATACATATGTCTATTCTAGTTCCATGCAGATTCCCAGAAACAGATGAAGATAAATCGCCTGAAAGCTAATTAAAAATGCCATCATACATCGATTAGAGTAAACTGGAGAAGTCTAAATCGCCACCTATGAGTTTAAGAGTCTTTAGTTTGAGTTGATATGCTTGAGATATTCTTTTAACAATTCATCCTGCATTGCATTTTATTTCTTGTGAATATTAGATTAGGCTTAGTTTAGGATCTTAACCAAAAACCCCAAAACTTTTTCTTGGTTATGACTTTGCTTACTTCTCAGTTTGTTGTTTCTTGCAGATTAGACATCCTCCATGTGGATCGACACCCTAAATCCTACAACGTACATCTGTGCACTTGCAGACACTAAGGTTTTATAAATTTAAAAGTTTGGAGGACCAACGGGCTTATTAAAAAATAACCCTAGGCCCGCAAGCCCATCAACAATCCTTTGCAGCAGGTGTAAAACACCACTTCTGGTCATGGCGAAGCTCCATCCATGCGTGCTCAAGCACAAACTTGATCTGGTGATCATTGAAAAAGAGATCATGCGCTGCTTTCATAACGTCGCCACTAGACTTCTCTTTCATGGCAGTCTCATAACACCCTACAAATTTGCAGGTTTGATATTTAATCCTCTCGCACTTCTGCTTGATTTGACTCATTTGTCTTTTAGGAATCTCAGCAATCTGTGGGCTTGAGTTGTAGTATGCTTCAATCCGCTTCCAAAAGGCTCCAGCCTTTTTCTCATTGCTAACGACTGGGTCCTTAGACGTATTCAGCCATGCACTTATAAGAACCACATCCTCCTTCGGCGTCCACTTTCTTCTCTCTTTACATACACCAACTTCTACGCTTGGATCATCAGAAGTTTCTGTACTAAAGAATATTGCTACATATATAAGAAATGTAGATGAATCATTTAAGTTACATGTCAATTAAGTGGTCAATCTATTCAGTTTAATTGAATTTTAAAATCATAGGTTACAAAATTTAATTGTTAAATATCTGCCATAGTCAATGATTATTGCAAAATCAACTTGAGAATTAACTGATTTGTTTGGGTTTTTAGTTGTTAGTTAATATGTATATATGAATTTTTGTATATATGTTTTTATTTGATTTTCCTAATAGAAATATCAAGAAAATTGTTTTAAGTGAATGTGTGTAATTATAATGTTGGGTTTGTCATTGTCTTTTGGGTGGAAAAAATACGTTATAGCATTTTGGGTGATATATTTCTTAAACTAAATTGATATATTTACTAAATTCAATGTGTTCTTTGAATTATTATTTTCTTAAATGCTACACGTTAAAAACATGTAGTGGAGAACAACAAACAGATAATGGATTAGTATGAATCTAATATTGGATATCCAATAACAAAATGGAATAATAAAATGTAACAACAATAACCAGAAAATTTATCAAGACTACAAAATTTGAAGAAATGAAAGATTTTTGGAATAAATTTATGATAATGACAAAGTTCAACAATTGAAATTTTAATGAATAAGAAGAAGAAATGAACTCAATATTACGAAATAATACGAAATAAAAAGAAATAAAAAGAAGATAATTGATTGGAAACTTAATCAAATTTGTTGCTGCTTCCTTTTTTATAATATCCGCCTCCAATGTCTCATTTTGGGTAGTCTTCTTCATCATCAGTTTCATCATATTTGAAATTGAAATTAATGAAAAGAAGAACATACTTGAAATAAATTGTGAGTTCAAAAGAAAAATTAACATGATGTTATAACACATATCATATATGGATTCTTATACCGGCCCATTAGGCCCATCAGGGCATTGTACTTAACCTAGATTCCATATGTACTCTATATATACATTCCAGTGATTAATAAAGTATCTAAGTTTTCACAACACGTTATCAGCACGATAAGATTCTAGATTAATTATTATTTGTATGTAAAGTGTAAACTTTTCCCTTTATTCTCTAAGTGATAAAGCTTTTAGATGGTTAAAATCTATGTCATGGGAAGAATACAAGTCAGCTTTCCTGAACCACTTCTACACCAAAGTCAAGATCGAACCAGCTGAGAAACAAGATACAAGGTTTTCAATAAGGCCCAATAAAATTATTCTATGAGGCGTGGGAGCAATTCAAGGAATATGAGAGAGACTGCCCTCATCATGGTTTTCTGGAGCAAACCTGCTAAGCACCTTTTACAAAGGATTTCAGCAGAAGTATCAACTTTCTCTTAACACTGCCAGCAATGGAGATTTCAGTTCAAAAACTGTACCACAAGGGATAGCACTCATCGAAAACTTAGATGTTGCCAACAGCAACAACAATCCTGAGTATGACAGATCAAATAAGATAATCATTAGTCATGAGTCAAGAAGATTGCTGAGCTAAAAAGCATGGTAAGTCAACTTCTTAAATCTTAAAATAAAAATGTACATGCTTGTGATGCGGTTGCAGGAAATAAAGAAGATGGAAGATATGAAGATGATGACATATATCAAGAAGAAGAAATCAATTTCATAGAAGCTCAAGCATACCAGAGCCGATTCAGTCCAGCTTTCAACCACAATTTCAGGAATGCCAACTTCAACAATCTCTCATACAGGAGCCAGGGAGCCGAGAACCCCCATAACCAGCCCTATCTGCAGCAGCAAAGGAATTTTCCAAACAAATTCCAAAATGGGAACTATGGAGGAGGAAATTTCCAACAAAGACCATCTTTCAACCCTCAGCAAGCACAGACCAGATCATTAGAAGCAACCTTTTCCCAGCTAAGCAACCAGGTAAAATCGCTTGAACAAAGCGTGATGCATACATCTCAAGGCAATGAGAAATCGATCAGGGAAATGGGAGTGAGGGTCGATTGTATGTACAATGACTTGAATGAGAAGTTTGAATCTCTTGCAACCCATGTCAAGAAGTTGGAACTACAGATAGGTCAGATTGCAGATTCGATGAAAAGGCAACCAAGAGTCTTGCCAGGAAGGGTGGAAGATAATCCAAAGAAGTTATGCAATGCCATGACAGCAGTCCTGCAAGAAGAGCCAGTCGCAGACTCTGAAGAAAAGTCAAAACCTGAACCTCTCATGAAGGACACTAAAACCGAGTATGAAAGAAGCCACATCATTCCGGTCAAGGTATCAAAACGCTTGCCTGACCAAAGACTCAAAAAGTCTAAGGATCCAGGGTGTTTTTCTTTCACTTGCTCTATTTCTTGAATTGAATTTTCAGATTGTTTATGTGATTCTGGTTCTAATGTGAATGTTATGTCAAAATCTGTTGCTGAGAAACTTGGTATAGGAAAATTTTTCCCATCTCCAGTAAGGATAATCTTTGGTGATTCATTCCAAAAGAGGACAGAAGGAATGATCTAGGACTTGCCACTGGTCATATGAAACAAAATCATCCCAACCGATTTCCAAGTTTTAAAGATGGACAAAGACAAAGAAAGACCTTTGATATTTGGTCGCCCATTCTTAGCAATTGTAGGTACTATAATTGACCATGCAAATCGCTGTTTAGTTTTCTTAAATGTGGACAGGAAGAAGTTCTATAAGACCACACCGGATCAAGCTCCAAACTGCAAGGAGAAGAGCAAAGAGAAGATGTTGGAAAACAAAAAGAAACTAAAAGCACTTGCATCCAAGCAATGTGCAAAGAATCAAGATAGTGGTACCACCAGATATCAGTAAGGAGAAGGAAGAAAACCTTAAAGAAATTGTTGAGAAGATAAAACATGTCTTCAAGGATGCAAAAATCCTTAAGAAGGGAAAGGAAATTTTGATTCAATATGAAGGCAATCTAAAGTTCAGGCTAAAGAGAATCTCAAGGACTCTTATTTCAAGAGATCCTGCCTCTTCTTCTCAATCCTAATCCTACCAAGAGTCTAGCTAAAAGACTTTAAACAAAAGCGTTTGATGGAAGACAATCCATTTGGTATGATTTTCTTTTTTTTTTTTTTTCTATTTGATCTTTTTCTTTTTATGCATTTCAGGCTTTCATAAAACCCAGAAAAATAAAAAAATTCAAAAAGTCAGAAAAATACAAAAATATAAGAGGAAGAAACCGGATACCAAAAAGAAGCTGGTGAAGCTAGAGCCATTTTGCCGCGGCCGCGATCATCTCAGCCGCGGCCAGGCCTTCATTTTCCGCGGTCCACGACCTTCACCCGCGGCCAAATCACTCTCTGCCGTGGCCACGCACACCTGACCCGCGGCCAGGCTTGTTTCTGCTTCCCGACTTGTTTTCCCAATTTTCCGCAAACCAGAACTTCAAAATCCCGATTTATTCCAGGATTAAACTGGAAAGTTCCCAAAACATTATTTCTGTGTTAAACACGCCAAGGTAAGTCTTTAAAAGCTTTTAAAATAAATTTTTCTTAGGAAAAACACATTTTTAAAAGAAAAAGAGGATTTCAAAGATCAAAAGGCTTTTTTCATCATCTTCTCCAACAAACTTGGGGATTTTGAAAAAAGACTAGATTTTAAACTTGACAAATCTTATTCAAATTTTCGGAACTGCCTAATCCTTTTTTCAAAGGAGATTCCAAATCTATCATCACATCACACTTTCACCAAGGTATTGATCCAAATTTCTCACTTTTTCTTATGAACTCAAATTTAGGGTTTTCTTAGAATGAGTAGAAATTCACCTTAGGATGATTAGTGATTGTCTTTGAGCTCAAGACTAGACTTCTGGGTAGTTTAATTGCATGATTTCACACATGGACCATATAGATTTGAAATTTTCGAAATCTGAGATTTGAACACTTGAGAAAATCAAAATTTGAAGAACTGTTTGACTCAACTTAGCAAATCTGGATTGTTTGGTTACTGTTGATAGATAACATGATTAGATTACATATGAATGAACATTAACATCATCTTGCTTTAGAGATCTCATATATTAAACATTACTATATCGACTTTGACCAGGAACTCCCAGATTTTGCAATATTTGATGCAATTACAGCTTGTTTTGTCATGAGAATGTGTTTGTAATAGTTGTATGAACATCATGCTCACAAAAATTGATTCAATAGCAGCTTCACTTATTCTCTATCTCGAGATTTTTTTTTTGCAGGCCATGGATCTCTCTCAGGTACGACTCATTCGAACTAAGAAGAGTCCTCATGCGAAGAAGCCCCACTCGCAGGAGACATACGATGCATTAAACGAGACGCATCTGAGTGATGATGAAAATTTCTCCACCTTCATATCTGCACAGAGAAGAATCTTTTCAGGAGAGATTGAGAGAGCCCCCACTCAAAAATCTGTACATCCGATAGCTAAGTCTTCCTCTAGGCTAAAGGTGAAGTTTGTTGGTAAAGCCATTGATCTAGAAATCAACTACCTGGAGCAGCTTGAAAATCTGAAGATCAAGCCAACTCCAGCAATTGACTACTCTACTCTTAAGATGCTTGGAATCAGAGAAGATGTGATATGGTATCTTGATAGGCTTGGAATGAGATCATTCAGGGAGCAGAGTTTTCCAACCTATGAGAGCCACACCAGAGAGTTCCTTGCATCAGCAACCTTGTGCTACAAGAAAAGAGCTACTCTTAGAGCTCTAGATAGCACACTCTCCTTCTCTATCGGAGGTCATCTCTATTCTCTTACTATTTTAGAGATGTGTGATACTTTGAAGCTGCCATATTGTGATGAGATTCCTTTGGAAAAAGATCCAGATGAGGATCTATGGAGATTAATGGGTCATGGAGTTTATGACAAAGTGAGGTCCAAAGCCTCATTTCTCTCTCACCCTGCTGTTCGATATGTGCACAAATTGCTGGCACACACTTTGTTTTCCAGAGCCAACCAGGCGAATGTCCTCAAGCCCGAGCTGGTGACACTTCAGATACCTTTTGCAGATCATCCAAGGTTTCCTTGCTTTGCTTGCATCATTGCAAAGAACCTAGTGAAGGTTAAGCATCAGATGCTTACACCTGAGTGTCAGGACAACTCACCAGCCTTTGGAAGCATCATTACTTTACTTTGCTTATGATAGCAGCAGGAGCTGATTTTTCAGCTGAGACGCTTCTTAGGGAAGATTGGTTCGATCTCTCTCAGTTCTCCTGAGACAGGACTATCACCAGAGCCAAGATGGATCCCTTTGAATTTTCTTACAAAAACCTATTTTTGTTTTCTAATGTATTCTTTAGATCTTCATTATGAAATATAAAATTTCATAGTTATGACAAATGTTTTATGGAGATAACGACTTTAGTAGTGTGTAAATATACCATTTGAAACTACTAAAATAACTAAAAACTTGTCTCGCGCTACGTGCAAGTTTTATTATTAAATGGGAAAAAACCTTAAAAATACCTGAAGTCTTAAACATTTGTCAGAAGAATACCTGACTTCCCAAAAAATACCCAACTTATTTTTGAGTGTTGATTTAATTTCCATACATTCAAAAACTGCTATTTTCACTCCCCGTTTTTAATTCCGTTTATCCGTTAAACGGAAACACTAAAACGGTGTTAAAAATTTAACACCACGTGTTATTATTGTAGGTGAAAAGACCAAATATAACCCCTGCTCGTCTTCTCTCATGTTCTTCCCCAAAAATCGATTTTTCCCCAAATTAAATCCTAATTCGATTTTCTCCTAAATCAAACCTTAAATCGATTGTTCCCCAAATCAAAGCCAAAAGCAAGGTAAATTGAAATACCCAAAATCGATTTTCTCTCACGAAATTGATCTTCTTCCTCGAAGTCGAACTTCGTTCTCACGGTGACTTCGTTTAGCTATATGAGACGAAGATTTTTGAGAGTCGGAGGATGAGGTCAGGTATAGAAATTTATAAAATTGGGCTGTATACTCTGGTTATGTGTGTCGATTATGAAGTTTGGTTTGTTAGTATATCAAATTTCTTCTTCGATAGAATATGAGATTTTTGAGTGACATCTCATATTTATCTTTCGATAATGCAGCGTTACCATAAAAATCAATTTGGAGGGCTTATGTACATCAACTATTCTCAGGGTGTAAACAGGAGAATTTGTGAAGAAGGGATTACAGTCGATCGAGATTTTGTGACTTGGAGCATCTTCGATTTGTGAAAAACATAACTTAAGAGTGTGATGAAATCGACAGAGTGGATGAGAAGTGTTACGATGAGTGAAAGAAGCTAAATTGCGAACACACCACATAGAGAAGAGAATAAAAGTGAAGAAAGAAAAATAGAATTAGAGTTCTTCAATTTGGGAAACACTAAATATCTGTTGAATCAATTTTGAATGGGTAATAGAGGTCTTTTCACATACAATTAACACACGTGGTGTTAAATTTTTAACAGTGTTCAAGAATTTCCGTTTAGCTGATAAACGGAGGTAAAAATGAGAAGTAAAAATAGCAGTTTTTGAATGTATGGGAATTAAAACGACACTCCAAAATACGTTGGATATTTTTTGGGAAGTCAAAATAGGTCATGTATTTTTCTGGCAAATGTTTAAAACTTTGGGTATTTTTAAGGTTTTTTCCCTTATTAAATTTGTTTTTGGTTAATGGTTTTAATCAATTAACATAACCATGTCATAATGTTTCCTTTTAAATCAAATTTTTTTGGGTAATCGTACTTTGGTATCAATTAGAGAAGATGCTTGAATATAACTGAAAACTATAGTGGGTCGTCGCATATTTTTCACAAATGGTAGCAATGATTTCAATTTATATTTTACATGAAATATAGTGTAATTTATATTTTATTTATAAATATTTATATTTTGTCTAAAATACTACGGATGAATCAGAAATCCCGACGGCATTGTGGAAGAGTAATTTTAGCATAAAGCCGACATGTTCACAGATACAACTACTATTAAAACGAGATATTTATCGACCCAAATTATATGAAGAAATCGAAAGAAGAGAAATAAAATAGAAAAGATAGAAATTAGGGTTCTTTGATTTGAGGTAAAAACTGATAATAGATTTAAATCGACTGGGGTAACTACTAACTAGGCTAGTACCGACTGTGGTAACTACTAACTAGGCTAGTACCGATTTTATTATTAATTTATAAAACAAAATACAAAATTAGTTCATATTTATATTTTGTCTCTTTTATATTTTACATCTGCAGCATCCACACGGGAATTTTATCAAATTTGTAATGTAATTTATATTTTATTTATAAATATAAATTTTTAATAAGTGACAAAATTTCATTTTTTGTTTATGTATAATTTTTATTTAATTAATTTAGTATTGTTAAGACTACAATTATAAAAAAATAATTATTCATTTTATTAATTGAAAAAGATAGTTTTAAAAAAATATTATTCTAACTCGTCATTTTATTAATCTGAAAAACTGTGGTTATAAAAATATAATTTGAATATGTTCGTTCATTTTAATATATAATGTAAAGATTTATTATTTTTGAAATAATTTTTCATTTAATATCTTGCATGTTATGATAACTTAACGCGCATAAAACCACAATTATAAAAAACCTAACACATTCCATCAAATTACCATTTAATATAAATATTTATCAATTTTCAATATGTTAAATTTTTGACTGATTGATTACTATGAAAAAAATACAATAACATATTCGTTAATCATATGTGTTATTATGAAAATATTATTTAAATTTTAAATGTTATTAAATCGAAACTATATTTAAAAAAGTCTAAAGTAATTTAACCTAATATCTAACTTTTTAGACTTAAATTTAAATGGAATTTTTAAAATATTTTAAATTTTAAATTAACTATATTATATATTAAGAAAATCTTTAATTAACTAAAGTTGATATCTAATTTTTGAAACTAGTTTTAAAAGAAAATGAATTTTTAAAAATAATATCACCACAAAATAGGATAATCTTAGAACTGATTTCAAATAATTATTTTTTAAAAAAACTTTGGGAATGCTTGGATGCAAGTATTAAAAATGCTTCTGTTTTAATATAATAGACTAGATTCTAACCTCGTGCATCCGCACGGGAATATTTTTAATTGTTTAACGAATTTTATAATATAATTTGTGTTTTTGAGTTTAGATATAATTATTTTTGTAAATATATTTTTTAATAAGCGAAAATATTGATTTTTGTGTTTAGATATATTTTTATAGTATTAAAATTAATTATGATTATAAAAATATAATTTTAACCCGTTCGCTAATATTAATTCAAAATGAACTATTATAAAAATATAATTCTAATTTTTCTGTTCATATTACCGTATAATAGAAATATTTGTTAAAAGTTTGAGATGTATTAACAGTATTATTTAGCATTATAGTTTTCTAAAATTTAATCAACGAAGGGAGTGTATAACTGGTTTTTCAACCACATTATAGTGTATGCAATAATTTTTAATTTTTTATGTTTTGATTTTGTATGAAAAATATATTTTCAATATACATGTATAACTCAAAATTAGTGATATTAGTTACCAAAATATTTTTAACCCAATTTTTTATATATATTTTTAGTTCTATGAATTTTAAAAAATATATTTTTAATATTTAAATTATACATTTGAATTTTACCTATTATTTTATTATTAATTTGTAAATAAATCATAATCGTAAATATATTATATAAACAACATAAATATCATATCATTTACATCATTATAAATATTTTATATTTTAAATATGACCATTATTTTTCATATGTGAATTTTTTTTTTCAAAAATTCTAAATATTTTTATCAAAAATATTTAATAGTATAGAAATTATTTAAATTAGAATCTTTAAATCAAATCTAAATTAATATCTTTATTATTTTTAATCAAATCAAATCAAATCAAATCTAAATTACCTATATTTAAGGAACTCTAAAAATATTTAAATTAATAACTAATTTTCAAAATTAAATATAAATAATTATTAACATTATTTTTAAACACTTAAAAAAAATTAGGAGTGTTTGGAAGCACGTACTAAATGTGCTTCTGTTTTAATATAATAGATTAAGAAAAATTGAATTATGTAGAAATTGACCAACGTATTAATTGAACTATTTGAAAAATACCTTGAATTAATTTTATTATATGAAAATTAACCAAAAATTAATTGGATATGTGGTAATGCTTAAAAAATAGTTGGTGATCTTTAACAATGAATAAAATTATTTAAATTGTACAATAAAGATGTTGAAAGTACATAGTAGGCATGAGAATGTTAACTGAATTGATGAACCGGAACGAGCCAAATCAAACTTTTTGGTTTTTCAGTTTTCGATTAATTAGAGGATCTACGTGACATATACCAAATTATATCGGACTATACAAAATTTACAGAAGTATATATAAAATTTTGAAGCAGATATTAAACTGAATTGATCGAATATAACCAGATTTAACCAATTTTTAATTGAATTCCGATACAAATCTTTAGATTCCGGTAATATTCAGTAGATTTTGTTTAGAAAAATAAATCCAACCGTTTTTTCAATTTCGATTAAATTTTCATCAACCAAAAGTAACCGAAAACCGCAAATAACCGAAGGTTTGGGTTAACCCGAATTCCCAGGCGACTCACTTAATACCGGCATCGTTACGTCATCAATCGAACTTTACTCTTTGAGTAGATATCAAAGCAATGATAAGTAAGTGATCTTATCACCCTATCTATTTTTTCGCTTCTTTTTTCGCTTCTTTTTCGCCTTCATTGCTTCACCATACTGTACTGTCCACTAGTAGCGGATTAAACGAAGACGACGAGAAACTTTCACTGGCATGCAAACTTTTCATTCGTCTTCTTTCTCCGATCTCGAGAGAATCGGGATTCTCTAATAGCTGTTCTGTGTGATTTCATTGGCTCTCTCTCTCTATACTTTGTTAAAATAAATTGAAGTCACCTTTGTCACTACTAGAAGCGATTTCTGAAACCCTAAATTTCATCTGGAACTAAGATCAAGAGAACTTTTAGAGTTTTAGTGCGTGTTGGTTTCGTAGCTGTGGTTAACGATGATCTTAGACGAAACAAATCGAAAAGATCTCATATTCCTGATCTTACAGTTCCTTAATGAAGAGGGCTACGAAGGGAGCTTACACTTGTACGGTGACACTTGTTCTTCTTATTATTCCCATTTATCTGATTTTGGGTCTTTCGTTTCTGCATTTTGAAGTTTGATTGAATTAGGGGTTATGATTTCAATGCGAAGTTGTTTCGTCTCTTCTCTGTTTTTGTGTATATTTAATTATTTATTAGTTCGAATAGCATTTGGCCCTGATTACTGAAGATGTAGGTTAGTTTATGGCTTGATTTCAAAGCTTTGGTTATACCTAATCTATGTGTTGTTTGTTTTGTATGAAGACTGGAGCAGGATTCAGGGATTTTCTTCAATTTTAGCTACTTCTCCTATGCTATTCTCAATGGTAACTCGAAAGACGCAGAGGATTACCTTTCAGCATTCACTAGTCCTGATGCAAATACATATTCAAGGAAGATGTTCTTTGACTTGTTCAAGTGGAAATTTTTGGAAGCATCTGATAGGCAAGCAATAGCCATACTCTTCTTACAAATCATTTTATGACATTTTTTTTGTAAATCATCTCTTCTCTGGTAGAAGGATTAGAAAGAAGTGCTCTTGATTCATAGTTTTTTTATTTTTCTTGACCCTGCTGGAGAGAAATCCTTTTGTTATGCATGGACTTTGATTTTATGTATCGTTGCATTGTTAGTTCCCACTTCAAAACCAAGGATTCCAGACCTCTGAGTGATGCATAGAGTTTCTTGTAATTTGCTGGAAATGGTTTGAAAACTTTTTCTGCCAGTAGATTGGTTCTTTTTTTGTCTCAGATCTAAACACTTGTCTGTATAACCAAAAGGAAACATGTTTCTTCATCATGTTTGTTTCTTATATTTGTTTTCTTATTCCGTTCTAGTATTGTTCTGCAGAATTGGTGGCTCTGAATCTGTGAACATTTTCTCCAAGGATTTGAGACAGATTCCTGTTTTCAAAGATGATTCCTTCGACGATTTGGTTGAGGTGATTGCTCCAGAGGATATAAGGCAAGGATTAATATATTAGTCATTTATAATTTTCCCCATTGCAGATCTCATAGTCTTTAGTCGTGGCTTTGTTTGTAGAATTTCTGAGCAAGCTTGTTGCCTGGACAAATCATTGGTGAGAGTTAAACTGTGTGCTGATCTCCGTAAACAAGCAGAAAGCAATCCTTCTTTAAGTGGCAAACTTGTTTTTCCGAATTTGAATAAATCCGCACTGCTGTCGCTTATCATCCTCATTTGTCCAACTTGTGAAGGGAAAAATGGAGGGTTGAAGGTAAATTTTTTACATATTTTCTTATCAGCTTATGAAATACCAAGAAACTATGTTGAAATTAGATATGCAATGTAACAAGATTTTGGTTGCTCGAGATTATTTTGACCAGTGCGTTTCTCACTTTCTTGTAGGAAGATCTCATGTGCTTAATCCTTCAATTCCTCCATGAAGCCAAGTACAAGAACACTTTGCATAAGTAAGCTTCTGCAGGGATTTGTGATTTTGGATATATCTTTCTTTCTTACTGTTGATAATTTTTTCTTTCCGAAGATTAGAGCAAGAATCAAAAGTCTTCTTCAATTTGAATTATCTGGCGGAAGTGATGAGGCTTGGTGAGTTGGACAAAGCTGAAGAGTACCTTGCTGCTTTCACAGACACTCACAAGAATAAGTACTCAAAGGCTATATTTCTTGAAATCCAGAAACTTAAACGCCTGGAATTTACAGAATGGTTGGTTAAAATTTAATTATCTGCACTTACATTTCTAGTGTTATATGTCAACAGATGGGATACACATATGTCTGACTAATTCCATTATGGATCCTAATTGTCAACTTACACACAGTAGTTATATTCAATTCATATTAAAATGTTACTATCCCCAAATTCTCTGTGCAGTAATTTGTTTCCAACTAAAAAATTAATTGAGCAATTCTAGACTTAGGTTTTTTCAGCAAATCCTGTTAATTTTATGATGACAATTTCCTACTGCAGGGAGGTTACAACCCCATATGGATCTCTTGATAACATCTCGGCAAAGCTTAAGCTGCATGCCTCTGTTGCCATGCTAGCCAAGAAGAACCCAGTCCTGAAAGATAAACTCAAGTTTCCTAGCATGGAAAAATCAAGACTTTTAACACTAATACAGCAGATGTAAGGTTCCCAACAGGGTTTTTCTAGTCTTGGTTTTCTTTTATTGGCTTCTTTTAGTTATGATTTGCTCACCTCATGCAGTATGGACTGGTGGAAACCTCGTACCTGCAACAATCCTTATACTTTGGAAAATATTCCAGTGGTACCGTACCTTTCTGGCGCATCATCCTCTTTCAAAAACAAATTCAGCGAAACAGGGCGAAGGGCGAATGTTGATAACTGCGAAGTAAAGGAAATCAGTGATCCATCTGAGTGCAATGCACTGGCTCTTCCTGATTATTGTTCAGGAGGAAGGGTATGGCTACTATCTCCAGAATGATTATAAATTTGTCACCCTACGGCTTAGGTTGAGACTTTTAGTTGATCTTTAGAAGGGAAAAAGGACATGGCTCTCGAGAACTTTTAGCCATCAAGGATTGTGCTTTGTTGCTCCCAAGAATTTTACTTTGTTTAGAGTAAAACTAAAAGTTAAGAATAAGGGGATTTTCTTATGTTAGAAATTTATTTTGACTACATAATCCCTGCCACCTGTATATATACATTCATGGTAGTAGGATCATGAAGATACCAACTTCTCTGAAAAATATTTCTTTTGAGCTCTTTGGAATGAGAGTATCACCTACACTTGTAGTCCTAGAAATATAGGCACACTTGTCTTCGATATCTTCAATTATTGGGATCTCATTGATTTTGTTGACTTTGCTAGATTGTACGTATGACCTATTCCCTTTTTGGAGATTACATACTGGCTTTGGCAGAAGACGGGAGACATAAACTCTGGACGTGGTCGAGTAGCCCATATGAATCCTGCAAGGTTTAGTCGTAGATGCCAAAATTACATCTGCTATGTTTCAGCGTTGATTTCATAGCTACTTATCTACCTGATTCTTTAAAACCTTTTGCTTATAGTATACTCCTCGAATATTGAAGGAAAATGTATTTCCGAAGCCACGGTTACATCAACCTCAGAGTGGGAAAACTATGAAGAACGAGATAGCCACTTCTTCTGAGAGTTCAACGTCATGCTTTGCAATCAAGGGTTCCTATAATTTCTCTACTTCAGGAGGAAAAATAGCAGTTTTTGATCTGAAGAGCTTTGAGGTAACAAGCATTGTAGTGTTATATATGTAAGCTTTCGGGTGTTGCCTGCATCATCAACTGACACTGTTTGCACAAAACTGCAGAAAGTAGCTGCTTTTGGAAGTCATACACCTACAGCTACGTATTTCATATTTATTCCTGGTGATTTGCTTGCCGTTGGTCTAGATGATGGCTCTATCTTTATGCATTGTTTATCCTCGAGAAAGGTAATGCTTTGTTTTCGTTGTAATCATCTGAAGTCGTTGCCTGACCTTTGTAAACCGTAATATGTATTAGATCAAAGAAAAATTGGAGGGGCACAATCAGAGAATTACTTGCCTAGCGTTCTCGCACTGTTTTAATGTCCTCGTCTCATCTGGAGCTGATGGAAAGGTTTGTCCACGCCTCTGTATGTATACAAAATTGTTGCTTTCAGGATTCCTAAATTTTTTTTTTTATTATTATCTCCAGCTTTGTGGTTGGTGCACAAAAAGCTGGGTTAAGCTAACAAGTGATAACCCCATGCATAAATTTTGCACCCGGCGTGATAATCATGAGTTCTCCTCTTTAGTAACTCACATCCAGTTTGACCCGTATCAAATTGAGCTACTCGTGGTCCAAGAAGGGTGCATAAGTGTACTCGAAGCTCCAACTCTCGATTGCCTTATGCAGGTACAAGGAAAAACACTTTCAAGTCTCTCTTCTCTGATAATATATCTTGAGCATCTAGTTATCTTATCGACTTCAAACAAAACTAATGCTACGCAGTGGTTACCCAATGAGTCTGATACGTCAATAACTTCTGCTACATATTCATCCGATGGGGAGATCATCTATGTTGGCTTTAGAAGTGGTTCTTTAAAAATTCTTGACTCCAAGACCTTTTCCACGATATGTCGAGTCAATCTGACTGCTATTACTCAACCCATCCCTAGCAACATCAGGTACAGTTCCCTTGCCCATGCTTCTTCAATTTGATCAAATAAAAAAAAATCCAGAAATGATGTAATCAAATTGGCTACCAAACTGGGAATGGCACAGGCTCGAGGTTTACCCGGTTGTTGTAGCCGCTCATCCATCTCATCCGAGCCAGATCTCTGTTGGGCTTAGCAACGGTAAGGTCATCGTGTTTCAGCCGTTGGGGAGTGGAGGATGGGGTGAATCGGCTCCACCTGAAGACGGTGAAGGTTATTCTGATGGCTCAAATGAAACTGACTACTGACCAAATAGGTTATCTTAGCTCTTTTTGTATGTGTCTGAGCTTACTGCTCTTTTTATATACGTCTTAGTGCTTATTGTTCTTTTGTATGTTTGCCTATGTAGCTTAATTTGTAATTTATATGTCTTTTGTGTATTATATCATCATATAGCATATGTCAAAAAGCTTAATTTGTAATTAATATGTCTTTTGTGAATTTTATCATCATAAAGCATATGTCAAAAACCTTCCAACTCAGTCTGCACTCTGTTGGTAAAGTTATTGTTTATAAGATTATAAATTAATGTAAATTTATAAGAATAACTAGAATAAATGTGATCGAAAATGTTATGAAAATTAGGGATTAATCCGCACTAGGATTTTTTTTTACATTCAATTACGTTAAATAATTTTGTAAAAATAATTATTTTGTAAGAATAATTATTTTCAAAAACAATTATTTTGCAAAATAGTTATTTTGTGAATTTTATAAAATAAGGTGATTTGTATATAAAGTCATTTTTATTTTTTTTTTAATTATAAAAAATGAATTAATTTGTATATAGAGTTATTTTATAAGCGGGTAAAGTAAAATAAACTGTTTATTTAACCCGTTGACATTAGACTAATATATTATTGAGGCTAATACATAAAATATTATAATATTATAATCATCAAATCTAATTTGCATTGCTTAATAACTGAGTTTTATAATCTATCTACAAACTATAAAAAAATCAGTTTTATCAGTTGAGTTAATATGTATATAGAGTCATTTTTATTTTTTTGTTTGAATTGTAAAAAATGAGTTAATCCGTATATGAAGTTATTTTATAAGTGGGTAAAGCAAAATAAGTTGTTTATGAAGTTATATGAAATTATTTTGTAAGTGGATAAAGCAAAATAAGCTGTTTATTTAACCCGTTGGCATTAGATTAATATATCATAAGACTAATACACAAAATATTATAATATTATAATTATCAAATCTAATTTACATTACTTAATAACTGAATTTTAAAATCTGTTCACAAACTATAAAAAAACACTTTTATCTTCTTTAACTATATATGTAAATAAATATAATATTTTAAAACTTAAGTTTCATATAAAATTAATTAAAATAGAATAAACTATATTTAGTTTTAAAAGACAAATTATATATTTAGTAAATTAAATATACTACCTTTTTAAAAAACTAATGTTTTGAATTGCGATATTTTTTGGTGGATATTAAAAAATTAAAATCATAATATATTCATATCGAACTAACCCGTTTACTTAACACGTTTGTACTGAATTAAAATATAAAATTATTTATATGCACGGTTTAATAACTCTCACTTCACCACAAACGTTTTTAATTAAAAATCAATTTTCTCATGTCAAAATTTTGGTAAAATTAACTAAAAAAAATATTTTTGTATATAATCATGTAAATATAACAAATTATAGTAAAAACTATTTCACTATTTTTTTATATCATAAATTTTAGTTTTGATTTTTATATTATTTAATTGTGAATTTTTTTTATTTTCATATTTTTAATTAAATATACTGTATGATATCATTTGAATAAAAAAAATAAAAAACTACCATATTTTTGAATATAAAACTTAAATAATAAATATACTATATTAAATGAGAAATAAAGACTTTTTCATATTTTTTTCAATAAATTTGAAAGAAAATTATATTATTTCATATTTTAATTATTTTTTGTTATTTGTAATGACATATCATGTAATATTTTATAAAATAAAGGTTATTTTTTAAATGTCTACTTAAATAATAATATAGAGATAAATTAGATAGTTTTGTATGATTTTTGTTCGTCCTCAAATTAGAGACATAGTTGCTCTCTCTTCTAATGGAAGCGCCTTCTCTTTTAAACTTGTCAATCGCAAGCTTGTAACTGAAATCTATAGAGTAGCAAAATCAGCAAGAGAACAAAGCTCAAATTATATGGATTCTGGATGATTTTGTATGATTTTTTAATTCTTATTTTTGTGACTTAATTTTTTTGTATTTTTATATTGTTGTTGTTTTATATTATTTTTGAAGTAATTTTAAATGATCCATATCGATTCCAACACACGGCAAAAATTAATGGATCCAAGTCCAGATAATTACTTTTTAGATTTATGTATTTTAGAAATTTGAATATACAGTCATGTTCATATTTTTTATCTGATAAAATATGAATTTATGAAAAAATTTGTTTCTGAACAATCTTGTTATTTCGCTGGTTTATGTTTAACAATGAATAAAAAAATTAACAGATAACAAAAAGAATAGATGGTTGGTCTGCACGCATGTGCGGACATGAAATATGTTCGAAATATATTTACAAGTAATTATGTGTTGACTGAGATTCGTGAGGGAACATACACTTTTCATTTTAAAAAGAGGGTTAAAAAATATATTTATTCTGACTCAGAGGACGAAATGCATTCGATGCAAAGCGAAGAACCTTACCAGGGCTTGACATGCCGCTGTAATACTTCTGCAGAATTTCCTTCAGATTGAGCGGATCTTTTTTAATATAATCATCGCGAAGTAAATCAACAAAGTCCAAAGTTGACTCTCTGTCTCTTTCAAGTTTACCTACTATTGTACCCGCGTGAATATGATCAAGGCGCCGGAGGAACCCCTTTCTAAAAATCTAAGAACTCTAAAAGGATCTTATCCATTTTACATTGGTTGACATGGAAAAAAAGTTGATTGTCCAGTTGAAAAGAGTGATAGTCGAGTTGGCTTCAACCAAGAAAAAAGCAGGAGTGTGCTGAAAAAGAAGCAAGAACAAAAAAACTGAGTTATGTTTAACAATTATCACATATTGACCTAAAAAAAATAACAATCATCACATTGTGTGCAGCATGAAATAATGGTTATGAATGGTGTTTTATTAACTGCGGTTTTCAAGAAAGATTTTTTTAAAAACGCTTTTGTTCACCAATCATGAATAATTGAATACGTTTTGCGTATTTTTTTTTTAAAAAAAGAAAAACCTCTTCACGGTTTTTATTGCAGGCATTTTATCTCTTGCACCGCCAATTTATTGTCCCACACCCCAAAATCTGTGGTCCAATAAGAAAATCGCAGAATTAAAAAAATACAATTATTTTTGTTTTTTTTCAATTATTAATTAATATAACTTGGTTATAAATAAGAGAGAGAAGAAATGAGGTTCGACACATTCACAAACCCATTAATCTTCTCAAAGTAAACAATTGAGACTCATTATCATCAATTTTACTATCCAAAAGAGGTACGTTTTTCTTTTTTTTTTTAATATTGTTATACTATATTAATAAAATTAATATATTTAAATCATCATATATTTTAGTAAAAAGTTCTATTAAGTTATTTTAAATGTGTTTTTTAGTAAGTGAAGTTGTTATAATCTTTCAATGACTTATTTCATCATAATTTATGTTTTAAGAAAACAATTTAATTTAGTTGATAATTGTATTATGATATTGTTTCTTCAAAGTTATATAAAAAATACTGAAATTATAGTAAAGTAGTTATAATAAAAATCAAGATTATAGTAAATATAATAAAATATAATACTTGCAAATACTAAAACTGTAGTAAATTTATCATATATATATAAAAATATAATCAATTTATTTCATATAAACTAAATATGTTTCATATGTTCATTCTAAATAGATTTAACATTTGATAAAAATAAAAATAAAAATAAAAATAATAAGATACCATCTGAAATCTTATTTTTTTTTCTATATTATCTTAACTCAAAGTTTATTGTAATAAGAGGTTATGTATTTCATTAGTTAGTACATAGAAATATATTTAGATATAAATAATCTTATGGTAATAATAGTTTATTTTAATTATAATCTATTTACAAAACTAAATTCGTTATATTCTAAATTTTACTGTACTATTTTTAATGACTACGTTTACTAATTTAATAATAAATATATTATTATAGTAAATATATAAATATAACAAAACATGTAATTATATCACTAGTTGTATTTATTTGATAATATGGTACAAATTGACTATGAACATTGTTTAACATTAGATCACATAAATTTATATGTTTTTTTTTAAATATTATTAATAGTTAATAGATTATTAGATTAGTTTTTAAATTTCAAACTAATTTTTGTATTTTATTGACTTAGATATGTCGTCTAATCGTCAACGGAACATAAATCCTTCGAGACAAACATGATCAACTCGTCCGGTAGAATATCCAAATCCTCCCACAGAAACAACTGTTAGGGTAATTTTGTTTTTCATATTTTAATATTAGTTAAATTTAACATTAATAATATTTAATATTATAAATAACAACGTAATTTTAAAATTTGTAGAACAAAGATAAATGCAAATGGTCGTATATATAAGAAAAAACATTAATTCAACTGTTCGACAAAGCAATAATAATTACTCTCTCAAAACTCGTACAGCCGTTGGTAAAGAGTATATGGTTGATAAATCCTACAACCTGAATATAAATTATGCCTTCTTCAAAAACAAGCTTGATGAATTCAAAAAAAGATACAAAAGGTGGAAGACTCTTGTGAATTCTACTGGAATCTCGGTTGATCCGGATACATCCATGATAAATGCATCTGAAGAATGGTGGAAGGAACGTGAGTTCGTAAGTACATATAATCCTTTTTAATCATCAAAATATGTATTCAATAATTATAGTATGAAGAAATCTAATGACTTCAAATTTGTAGGGATGTAAACTGACAAAAAGCTTTAATTGAAAACCGCCAGAGTTTTAGGATGTGGTGGTGAAATGTCTCGTATTACATGATGTTTACTCACAATCTCAACACTCTTCACAGCAAAGAAGAGAAGAAGTGATCAATGAACGTGATTTTGATGAAGGAGGCCATGATGACTCAGACTCCGACAATGGTGACATGCAACAGAAAGTTCCGGAGACACAAGAAGTTGAAGAAGTCTACCATGTTAACATAGATGACGATACACACCCTTCAAATGAATACAGAAGTGAAGCGGTTCCAAATCGTGCTCGCAGAAGCCCATGAGGGAGGATAAATATAAACACTAGCGCTAGACAAGAAATTAGTTCACAAAGATTAGGTAGAACCTCACAGATTTCTACTACGGGTGGTTCACGAGGAGGTCAAAGGAGGCAATATTTTGAGACAACAATACAAGACACAATTGTTGGATATACAGAATTTCAACGACTAATTTTGCAACAACTTCGTCCTGGTG